AGTAACGTGATTTAAAGGTTTCCCAGCTTGACTGTTTAAAGCAGACGTTTGGCTGTCCAGCGGTAGGGGCGGTGCATTTGCATACAACCACCATCTTTGGTGTGACGGGTTTTCCCTATACATTTGTTTTAAGGATTGAGGAAGGGGCGTGTCTCTATATAAATAGTCTCTGGTTAAACAGACCGAGATGCTGGTGAAGTGATAAGCGGCCACTGGCGAATACATTCCAATGTATGCGTAGTGGTGCTTCTGTGTGTTTGATTAAAAATGTTCGCTACATCCTGCTTGTAACAGTCCATAAAAGAGGTGAGAATGTTCAGGAGTGACTGTCGGTCATAGACCAGACGTGTGCAACAATTTGAAGCCCAGATAGACATCAATAAATATATCCATATAAATAGATATGAGAGAGACCAAAGGCCAGCCGAACACATAGGCACAATCTTTTCGAGATCTTTTACAAATCACCTTTTTTCCCATTCGGACATTCAGTTTGGAGTTCAGGAGATTGTCTTGACCAGGACTACACCCCTAAATGCATTGAAGCAACTGCCATGTGATTGGTTGATTAGATAGTTGCATTAATGGGAAATTGAACATGTGTTCCTAATAATCCTTTAGGTGAGTATATTTAAATAATATATATAAATATTTATTAAAACATAATATTTGAGTTTTGAAGTGTTGGAAAAAGATGTGTGATGTACTTGAAAGCTAGCCTAGAAATCTAGACGAACCCTAGCGGCAGCAAAAATTATTTTGCGGCAAAGTGTGGTCTAGCAACTCTCCATAGACGTTTGAGCTGGAAAAACTCAACTCTGGCCGGGCCAATCACATCGTGTATAGAGTCGGCGGGCGGGTTTAACATAATGACGAAAGAGTTGAGCCGGTCAGAGCAAGCTCAGACATATTTGGTTTGAAGTCATTCATCCTCGGATGCGGCCGGCGCCGCGCGCGCTGTTACAAAAAAAAGCAGTGGTGAAACGATCAACTCGTCATGCCGCGCTCGTGCTGTGGCGTCGAGTATAAAGGCTTTACTCCGTGTCAGCGGGCGCTCTGATCGGTGCACGGACCTCTCCCGAATCATCTCCAGCACCCCGAAGCACCACTACTCCGCCTCCGTTTCCCTCGTAAGCTGATATTAGCATTTAAACATTCTCTATGATATTATTTTTTTAATGACACACTGTCTCTTTCTCTCTCATATACACACACATACCGTCTCTTTCTCTCTCTCTCACACATATGTAGGCTAGTTATAAACTCTTTAGACTTTTAATGATTAGTGTTTTATTTTTTATAGTTTGTGGGTCGTTTAAAAAACAAAAAAAATCCCTTATTTTGGGGATGGATTCTGGTAAATCTCTCTTATTTTCAATGTTCAATGTTGACAGCTGGACTGGATACGGTAAAAGTTTAATAGCCTATGTCAACTTGCTTATTACGTCACCTTCTTCGTTGCTCTGATTGGCTTTAGCGCTATCCAATTGCGTGCAGAGAGAATTTGAAAGACAACCGTTTATCCCGCCCCTCGGATTGAGCCCCGTCAATGAAGAGTTTCCAGACCTGACATCTTGATATAGGTCTGGCATGCCAGGTTACTTGAAAGCACTATTCCTGCCAAACTTCCATGGTCACAGTGAGTGATACATTGCTGATCTGTGGACAGACTATATCTACCGGTATTATTAGTTCAGTCATGGCACAATGTTTTTCCTGGTTTCCACGTCAGTGCGGTTTGATCCGTTAATAACGATCTCGCAGCGATGTTATTACTTCAGTGGCGAATTCAAATGCTTTCTTTACTGGATTTCGCTGTGTAGTAACAGTGCTGCTTGATAAAGATCTGGCAATTCAGGACGCAGCCTCTGAATTGGGTCGCAGCAAACCAGCTGTTGCTTGGCGTCTGGAGCATTAATCAGGAACACCTGCTTGAGCAATTAGGAAATACTACGAAGGCTAATAGGCTACATGGTGCGTCCTTCGAAGGATGCAGCCTTCTTCTTCTAATGGAGTTTTATGGCGGGTGGCAAACCAACTTTCGGTGCATTAAATAAACAAGATTAAAATAATAATAATTTTAACCCAATTTCTTTAAATTCTCCAGTCTATTCCTTTTGCTTTAACATATTTCATAATAGCACTATTTATTTTATGTTTTTCTGCAACTTTCAAAATGCTTTCCATATTAAATGATTCAACACTCAGGTGTCTTACTTCCTTCATAAGTTGTAACCTTTCTTTTACATATTTTATATATTTTATTAAAACATGTTCAATTGTTTCTGCCTGATCACAATAATTACATTTACCCAATTTTTGTTTTCATATTTTGAATCATATCAAGGAATGATTAACTCTATTTGAGTATAAGAAATTGTATCTTCTTTTCTATTCCTAAAAACTCTTTGTGGTGAGCAGGACGGCCGAGGGACGTGAGAGAAAGTCGCGAGGCCGGTGGTGCGATTGCTAATGAGCAGCACCTGTGAAGCACACCGGTCTCGCATCTCTCACGAAGGAGCAGAGCCATAAAGGGGGAGCGACAGAGTGGATGATCGAGAGAGGAACAGGCCTGCTTTTATTTGTATTTTATATTTTATTTGGTAAGCCAGCAGTCGTCCGTGAGGGGCTGCTGGCAGGCAATTTGTTTGTTTATTTTGTTTAAATAAAGTTTTATTTTTCATTATTATCCGGTTCCTGCCTCCTTCTTCCCTGAACCTTGTTACACTCTTCTTTCATTTCCTACTTGTTTCTGTATACTATGCATACTATACACTCACCTAAAGGATTATTAGGAACACCATCCTAATACTGTGTTTGACCCCCTTTCGCCTTCAAAACCGCCTTAATTCTCCATGGCATTGATTCAACAAGGTGCTGAACACGTTCTTTAGAAAAGTTGGCCCATATTGATAGGATAGCATCTTGCAGTTGTTGGAGATTTGTGGGATGAAGCTCCCGTTCCACCACATCCCAAAGATGCTCTATTGCGTTGAGATCTGGGGACTGTGGCGGCCATAAAGGGATGGACATGGTCAGAAACAATGCTCAGGTAGGCCGTGGCATTTAAACGATGCCCAATTGGCACTAAGGGGCCTAAAGTGTGCCAAGAAAACACTTTACAAAAACGAGAACAAACCAGGAGTGATGGAGAACACAGGGTTTAAATAAACAGAGCACAGACTAGGGGAAGTAAAGCTGGGGCAAAGTAACTAAACACAGTTGAAGGGACTGGACACAACTGTGGATTTACAGTAACACAATGCTAACACACATGCTGTCGAAACTGTGAACCACACATTCAGAACAGGGCAGCCTTGAGTGTTTCACACACTGCAGAGTGCACTTCAGCTGGGCGTTCGACACCTGTGGCCTGACGTGGAGAGAGGCAGGATCAGCCCCTCAATTATAAAAAAGCAAAACTATAATGACCTTGGGTGTGTGTGTGTTTTACTTCCTAATGCATATTTACCTATGTTATTTATTCTCGGACTGGTTTCACAAGTGTGGTTTTATATTAAATTACAAAATCAAAAGTGAAAGCAAATAACAGTGTCTGTGCATGCACTCCTCCCCTCACAGGTCCAGCAGGGTATATAATGAACATCAGCGGGTGTCATAGTTAAAGATCGTCTCAGAACTACAAGCGAAGAAACTCTTCAAGGTGAGAACATTATTCAGAAATGTTTCTATTAAGTCTATATAATACAAATGGTTTCATAATATGAAAGTATTAGGATAATTTTTGTAATTTGGTGTTCGTAGCAAATATCCCAGCAGTAGGGCTAATCCAAATAAAATTAAACCAAATTAAGTAAAGGATAAATAGTCAGAGCCAGTTGCTAATGAAAAGGCAAGAATTACGAGCAAGAGAGATTTAAAAATGGACTGACGGTCCAAGAGCATTTTATCAGATATTTAGAGCTCAGAAAGAGAAAACCGTGGGTAAGCAGTACACTGTAAAAAACGAACACTTTCATTTTTTTTTAAACTTTACTTCATGTCTTATTTGTAAAAATGTAGTATGTACTATATTGCACAGTAACCTGAACAATGCCACTCTCACTCAGAAAACCCAAATTAAGATTAATTGATTGTTTGAGTGGAATTTTGTCAAGCAAATAAATAAATAAATAAATAAATTCTTAATAGACTTTTCACTCATTTCCTCCACTTCTGCAGTTATTTGTCTCTAGTTGCATTCACTGATTTTCCAAAGTCATCTTAAGTGTTCAAATGTCAATACATCTGAATATTTTGAGAGAAAATCACATAAGCTGACTTGTATGACTCCTAAAATGGTTTTGTTTTGTTGATCATCACCATTATGGTGATCAGTGTTCCCTTTGGTTGGACATTTGGAACTTCATTGATATTATTGTAATTCTCTTCCTATTGATGCTACAACAAGAAATTGGGTATTTGCAAAGGAAGGGATATAACACATACACACATATTACAAACATACAAGAATGATTTAAAATAACTATATTTCATGTTGAATAATTATCTTTTACATTTTATTGCTAACACTTACATCCCTTTGTGAATCCTTTAATGGGTTGATATAATCCCTCTATATTTGTACAATATCTTGCAATTGATAAGTTTGAGACTTACACAGACAGACTTCAACATTCAGGATCTTTATACCAAATCTCTCAGTGAGGCTTAGAAAACGAGAAGACACCTTTACAAAAAAACATTTGACAACAATCAAGCAAAGTCTGTTTTTAAACAGACACTAAATCCCCCTTTCGCCCATTTTGACAAAGAGACCAAATTGGTAATTTGTAACCGGTGTCCAAGATTCAATCAGGGTTTATGTAAAAATTAATGGAAAGTGGATATGTATTGATCTATAGCGCATACACTAACAGCATATATGTACATGTAAATCCTGATCAGTATGGGAACTTGCTCATATTCACATTTTGTGAAAAAAAAAAAAAGTATTCTAAATAAATAAAATATAATTTTGTGTTTAACAGATTATTGAGCAATTCTGTGAGGTGGAAACATGGATGACATGCTGGTGAGTTTCAATTTTGAGTTTTGAGCGCAAATTCATGAGCTTTATGTGGAAAAGTTAAATGATTTACCTGTATTCATTTCAATGTAATAAAAATAAATATTAATATTATTCATTTTTAACTTAAATTAGTTTTAAATGAATGAGAACAAATGCAACTGAAATGTTTTGTTAATTATTGTCACGTTTTGGTTTGTTCATGTCAGGTTACATGTCTGTCATGTGATTCCTTGTTAGTCATGTGATCCTTCCTTGTGTTCCCTTGTCTGATGTGTCATGTTGTTGTAGGGTCTCTGGACTCAGTTAGTTCTCATTCAAATCCACAGTTAACACTTTCATAGCAACAAAACAAAGTTAAAACAAAGTCTTCCCCCTTTCCTGCAATAACCAAACATTGTGTACACCACACACACACACACCCACACACGCACACACACCCACACACGCACACGCACACACACACACACACACACACACACACACACACACACACACACACACACACACTACAGGACTCCCCCACAAATGAAGTCAGCTCTGACAGAGCTCTGTGTTCAGTTACAAGACCTCACCACTCTGTCTTAATTCTTGTGTGGGATTACAAATTCTATTTAACATTTTTAATTTAATGTTTTAAATGGAGAAAGTATCTAAATCTCTGCAAACAGTAGGAGTTTATACTTCTGACTGTCCTGTGACCGCACGAGAAAACCGCCTTTCCTGTTTCTCGTCTCACCGTGTGAAAACTGCTGCGGAGCGAGTTTGAACACCTGCTATGTTCATTTCTGAGACCGTTTACCTTGGAGTTCTAGGGTCACATGCATTTCCATTTGCTTTGATTCAGTGTCTCCACCTCTATGCAATCCACCCCCTTTTTTAAATGTATAAGAATAGTTCTGTATTATCGTTTGTTAAACTATCTTTGAGAAGGCTACTGCGACGCAATAAAGAACTTCTGCGTGAAAGATACCTCAGTCTCCTGATCTGTTGCGTTAAAAAAGATAATTAAAATCCAACTGAGAAGAATAAGCCAGAGAAAGCCTATCTGTCATGAATCAGCCTTCTCTCTCTCTACACACGCACACACGCTCAGCTGTTTCTCATGATCTCAGTCTGTATTTCTAGTTGGTTCAGCTGATCTCTCTTATTTATTTTTAGACTCAACAGACAAACGCCTATCAGAAATTCTCTGATGCCGATGATGACAGCGATTCACCAGATAATGCATTTTTATTGAAAGGTGAGTCCATCTCTCGATTCATTTGAGCAACATCAGCAGTGTAAGCAGATCACAATCTGATGTCACAAGTAATACAGTAATTACCGTTCCTGTTACGCTATCCGGCGTCTATATCCTTTTACACTCTGCTCACTGTGTGTTCGCCCCCCAACTCACTTAATAAAAGAGCTGCATCTTTTTAAAGATGACATCCTCTTGCGACCCCACTCAGTGACGGGGACCGCCTCATTTGCATTTCCTGCCTGGGAGAGGATCATGCAGCACTCGCGCCTGCTGACGGCGGCTGCCCTCACTGCAAGCTATTGCCTATGGTAACTCTGAGGACTCGCCTGGTTTTCTTCTCTGCCAGCTTCGCCCGCCAGCTTTGCCAGCTTCTCTCAATGGCCGCCGCCCGCTGCCGATTCTGTCATCAATGACAAAAAGCTGGATCTGCAGAGGAGGCCAGCTGTTCTCTTCTGGCATCGGACAGTGCGGGCTGGGCAAGCTCCGTGGACCTCTCTCCCACACTGTTCCTGAGTCAGTTGGAAATTTAGTCATTTAGCACTGTGCAAATTCTCTGGCATTTTGGGGGGCCTTAACATCCTCTAAAACTCTCGAAACTTTGCACACGGGTCAGAACCCGACCATCAGGGCCGGGCTGAAGCTGGTACCCGGGCGTGGCAGGGCGGCTTGACAGCGCCCCCTGGACTGGGATTCGAACACTTGTCTATAAATCGAACACACTTGAATGAGTTAATATGAAACTCGGCAAACTTATAGATCTTATCAGGCCAAACAACTTTAGTGCTCTAAGTCTTACGACAGCTCAAATGGAAGTCGGCTATTATGGGTTGCTTGAATAAATGTCCTAGGAGAAATACATCAAATTACAACGCATGTGTTTACCAATCACCACCAAACTCGGTGTGCATGAAGTCAAGGCATTGAGGATGCTCAATTCCGGACGGATTTTTGATATCTCGAACGGTTTGGCCGTGGCGAGGAAATTAATTTTATGACTAAAAAAGAACACATAAAGTGTGTTATAACTTTGCTTGTTTTACCTACAGTTACAAAACTTGCCACGTATATTCTTTTTGTCAAGCCGATCAACTTTCCAATTTAAAGTCATTCGCTCTGAGCAACAGAAAGTCAGATATTGTAGTTTGAATGGATTTATTTCCCCTGCCATTCTCTCTCTCTCTCTCTCTGTGTGTGTGTGTGTGTGTGTCTGTGTGGGGAGGGGTGGGCTGTTGTCTTTGTTTATGTGTGTTTGTGTCTGTGTGTGTGTGTGTGTGTGTGTGTGTGGCTGGCTGCGATTTTTTTTTCCTGCAAGTCCTTGTCTCTAAGTCCTTGTCTTTTTGAATAACAATTTTGTATTTTTTTAAATGACAAAATATGCATATAACCCCCATCTTTTAAATGTATAGTTTGCTTTAAATAAAAGTAAGATTGTGTTTGTAATTGAACCTGAAAGAGTTTAAAATTCATGTGCTATATTTCAATATATTTGTTTTCCTTAAAATTTAAAAACACTAACCTCATTCTCAGTCAAAGCGGGGGCTACATTTTTGCACGTTGTGCAGAATAACCCTAAAGGCACCCTAAGGCACCTTTATATATATACATATATATATATATATATATATATATATATATATACAGCTCCGGCTTGGGCCCGCAATCGCTGCTCGCAGCTATATTTTAATGATTTTTTTCTAATGTACATAGTAAGGTGGTTACAGTATTTTTGGGGGAATTTCTCTAATTCTTGATTTCAGAAGTGCTAAAAGAACATCAATACAGCGAACCGAAGGAACTCGGGAGAGGGCAGTTTGGAACAGTGTTTCTGGTGAAAGACATATATGGAGACCCTTATGTGATCAAACAACTGAATTCCAGAGATGTAAGTACAATCAAGCATTTGCTAAATCAAGGACTGACTATATTAATTGCATCTTCTGTTTGCTATTAAAGTGGCCAATTTCACTTGCTATAAGAGAGTCACTTTTAAAAAACAAACAAACAGAACTACATATGTTCCTCCAGAGGAAGGACCTGGAGATAGTCAAAAAGGAAGTCAAGATCTTGAAGACAATGAACTGTGGATACATTGTTTCTTATGTGAAATCAATTGAAGGTGCGTTTTTATAAATATTACAAAAGAGGATAGTAATATTCCTTTATTCCAAAGTTAAAATGTTTATTTTCTCCCAAAGTCAAATAGAACTACTAACAATGGGCACATACTTTATAGAGATTGATGAAACATAAAAAATAAAAAAACTGTGTGGTTGTTGACTGTGAAATAAGGCAATTACACTGATAAATACATTTATTAGTAGATAAATTATTCTTTGGCTCAAAATTTCTTTATTTAGATAAAGCACGTGGACTCTATTATATTGTGATGGAGTATTGTAAAGGAGGTGATCTTTTCAAGAAGATGCAAACACAGGAGAATGATTTTGAAGAACAACAGGTGAGTGTCTTATAGACATACAGACAACAAGACATCATCTAACTGACGCTTTTGACAATACGTCAACATCCAACGTTTTAGGGTACCCTTTAAAATACATGTACAGGTAGGCTCAAACACAGCTGCTCCCCATTCACACCGCCAACTACTTTAAATGTTCATCATCCCTTGCGCAAAACTACAGTGACAGCAAAAGGACTAATCTCAACATTACAGGTGCACCAAATTTCCGGTCAATCCCATACAAATAACAAAAGCACATACAAAATATAAATATTTGAATAAGTTACAACATTTACACAAATATTTTACCAATAACCCAACTCATACTTCATTTAATCAACAGCACACGTTAGACTCTCCAACGAGGTCCTTTACAGAAATAAAGATAGTAAAAACACCTGTAATTCACAAGTACACTGCTGTACTATAGTACTAAAGTAAAGGGAAAGGACCTTAGATCACCCTAGAGAATATCAGTACACTTTATAATGCTGCCTGTGCTTTTTCACTGATGAAAGACTAGAAAAAAACTTTTTAAGAGTATAAAGCGATGCTTTCTTATTTCTCCATGTCGTTTGTAGATTCTTGACTGGTTTGTTCAGATTTGTCTGGCCCTGCAGTATCTGCACAACGAGAGGAGGAATGTTCTTCACAGAGACATAAAACCTCAGGTAGACACTCATAAACTCAGTGAAACATTTATCACCAAATCAAATGTGTGTAAATATGTCATTGTCATTGTAGAATATTTTTCTGACTGAAGATGGTTACGTCATTCTAGGAGATTTCGGATGCTCAACACTGCATGGAAGGTAAAAAAAGAAGAAAAAAAAGAAAAAAAAAGAAGAAGTGATAAACACTAAAATATCTTTTTGAATTTTTTTTTTCAGAGCTGATCAATATACAAGCTCTCATAAGGGTGCAGACCTCTATCGCAGCCCAGAAGCTGATGAGAATAAATATATTTCCAAAAGGTATGCTTTTTAAAAGTCTAAATATACATAAAATAGATACAGTATGTGTTGCGTAATGCGGTGGTAAAAACAGCAAGAAGGAGAACGGTCTCAGGAACCAGGAGAAAACGCCTCGGTTACTAAATCCTAGTTCACACTACAGGATTTTAAGCCCGATTTGCAAATCGTTGAGCTCGCCGACAGGTCAGGGTATTATCGGGTGCAAATCGCGGGGGATTAGCGGATGATGAATGCTCGCAAATCTGTTAGTATGAAAGAGCCAACAACGCATCAAAGACGCTCGCCGAAGCATGCTCGATATCTAGAGCATGACTCAACCTCAGTGATGTCATGAGCTACAGCCAATCAGAGCAAGGTATGGGTTGAGGTCACAGGGTAAATTTTATTTTTTTGCATTTTTTCTCAGAGCAAATCATCACGCAAGCAGTTTGCACAAAGCACTAGTTTCTGTCTGACGTCCACATTGGTGTGTCGTGTTCTTGGTCTTCTTTGCCAGGTATTGGCACACGTGCTGTTTCGCGTCATTTCCGGTTCGTTTTATCGCGGGATTTTTCGTGACAAAACGTGGTTTGTCGACGAGATCAAATCATTGGGTGACAGAATTGTTGTCAGCTCGTGTTACCACCTGTTGCTGATCAATCACGTTGTATCGTGTGTGTGAACAGCTCAACAACTTGAACACTAAAGCAAGTCATGTAGTGTGAACCGCACAGTTCAGCCCAACGTTTTAAAATCATGTAGTGTGCACTAGGTTTAAAGGTATATTTTCAACATGACATTTTAAAAACAAAAACTCAACAGTAGATAAAAATAATAATGCAATTGTGTTTGTATTTTGCCTCTGATAACATCAAATAGTTAATGAGGTGGTAACATGCTAATAATGTTCATATTTTAGGTATTTTTATAATAATAATTGTATTTTGTATTATTATATTAGCCACTGTTTCTCCCACAGTATTTTGAGTGTAGTGTGGACCATCTGCACATCTAGGGGGGTCCGGAGGCATGCTCTCCAGGAAGAAAAGATTGTACATTTGGTGCACTTTGAAAGTTCAAAATTAAGTGATTAACTAATTTAGTGCCTTCAATAAGCCTGGTTTGTTGTAGGCTACACATATTTTCTGAGCCAGAGACAGAGAGTGCTCACCACTTGACATCAAAACTATTCAGTGTTTTCAACCACATAGTGTTTATATTAGGTTTCAGACATTTAAATTCACATAAGTTACTAAAAAATCAATACATTTATTGTTTGTCAATTACACACTTATGTCCATGAAAGCAGAAATAATAATTATTTCCATTATAATTAGACAACACGTATTATTCACATCAAATACACATCGTGTAAGTAACTTTCGAGTTTACTCTATGCTTCTCCCAGTTTACCAGGCCACTTACTTTCATGTATTTCAGCAGAAGTGGATAAATTGACGTTTGTTAAATCCAACAGATTCGATTCTTTAAAAGATCTGGTATAACGCCTCGCGTATAGCTCAACTAAGGTGTTTAACAAAACACATCCACCTGCTCATATTCGACAATCGGAATATCAGATATTTCCTGCGATAGCCAACACGTTTGTGAAATAAAACCAGATAATCAGTCATTCAGCGCTATCGTGTCTGCGGTGTGACAAGCAGTGACGCGTCTCCATGGAAACCATAAAGGGAGATTATCTAAATAATGGGCGCCTCTAAAAACTTTTAAACGTACGTGTTAAAAGGTTAAGTAAGGCTTTCATTTAAATGTGTCGCCGTTTTGTTTTGAGTTTATGCTCGATAAATGAAGAAATTAATAGAGATGGCATGGCTTCATCACTGTCTCCTCTCCACCAGTAAACTGGTGTGTGGTGAGGGTTCTGGTGCACTATGGCAGGTGCCATAGTGAGGAGATTCCCCTTTCTATGTAAAGCGCTTTGAGTGCCGAGAAAAGCGCTATATAAATGTAATGAATTATAAGAACCGTAGTTTGAGTTCAGCCTGGACCAGACATGTATCGACTTAAGGGGGTTTGTGCTTGCACTTTTAGATTGGAATAAGCCTCGCTTGCAAAGAGGGAACTTCCAGGTTATAAAAGCTCATTAATGTGGACAGCAAGGTCCAGCCAGTCGCCACTCCGATATCTTCAATATGTATTCCACTTGACCAAGCCCATGACGAGGCCAAAACTCTCGTGGAATGAGCTCTGACGCCTAAGGGGCAATGAAGGGCCTTAGACTCATAAACTAGTGCAATATTGTCCACTATCCAGCACGATAAACTCTGCTTTGTGACAGCGAGCCCCTTGGTGCGGCCACCAAAGCATACAAAGAGCTGTTACGACTGTCTGAATGAGGCAGATAAACTCTGAGAGCCCTGATGGGACCGAGTAAAATTCTCTCTCGTCCTCTAGCGAGGCAAGAGCTGCTAGCAAAATAACTTGTGCTCTGAACGAGTCGATCCGAGAGCACTTTAGAAACGTAACCATGCCTTAGCTTAAGGATGACTCTGGAGTCGCTAGGCCCAAACTTAAGGCAGGAAGCGCTTACTGATAGCGCTTGCAAATCACCCACTCTCTTGACTGAGGCGAGCGCCAGTAAGAGAACGGTTTTGAGCGATAGAGCGGTTACTAAATAAACGAGCGGTTACTAAATAAACGCCTCACCTCCGGCGCAGCGCACTCGCTACATTCCCTTTAGCCTTTAGCACATAGTGGATGAATAACACAAACCCAGTCAAACGTTTGACTGCAGTATCTTATGTGCTTTATAATCCGGTGCGCCCTATATATGAAAAATGTTCTAAATAGGTCATTTATTGAACGAGCATAATATAAATATTTATATTCGTCTGTATTATAGTTATGGACCACGATTACGCTTTGCCTGCACGTTCTGCTGCTACAGCCAGCTCATTAGCTAAAGCTCAAACGTACCCGAAAAATATGACCCGAGAAGGGTTTGGGACAGGAGAAGCAGGACACAGGTAAACATTGGGGTTGCATTTAAAGCTTCTCGACAAGCTAAATCTACAGAGAGATGCCGTATATCCGTATATTTTGTGAAACGATGATGTCATGTCATGAGCTGAGCAGGTTGTCATTGACAGCGACAACAACTCCCGTGAGCCCACGCTCTTTCCCGACGTCATCAAAGTACGTCTTTTGTTATTATTTTAAATGAGTGACCCCTGGTGGCCAAAAATTGCATACTGTACGTTTAATTTGATTGGTAACAGCCTATAGTCTGGGCTGTCTTATTATTTTAATTGAATGTAGCCTATTAGTAAAATGTAAGAATTTGAAATGAAATTTAGAGCATACATTAAATAACATTAGGGGAAAGTGCCCTTTATAAAGGTACAAAAAAATTATTCAGATAAGAGTGTTTTCAAAAATGAAACATTGTTTCAATTGCATTCCCCCAGACCCCCCTAGTGTTACGATTTTGCTTACTCTGCCTCATTTTGAGCCACGAAAAACCCTGACATTGGTCCATATAATTTTGTCTACAGGCTACATAGTGTTGCAAGATTTTTTTTATCATTTTATAATTACACATGGACATGGACCAGCCCGGATTAAGAGGACTTTGGGCCCTGGGGCTATAGCAACACCAAGGGCCCCCTTTCATCTGATTGCCTAGCCACAGTCTTTTACCGCAAAAATATTTTTTTATTGTTGTTAAAGCTGCAGTTCGTAGCTTTTCCTCTTTGTTGCTATCTCTGTTTGAAAACTATTTACAGAATTATCAACTTTACGTGGTCTGTACATCGGCATGAAAGATTGCGGATGAATCCAATGTTTTGACGTGAGTGTGCGTTTGTTTATCACCGCGCTGGTGTGGATACGGGCATTCAGAATCACATATTATAATTTTTGGAAGTATGACCAATATTCTAATTTTCTATGGAAAATTATGTCTGAACAAGTAACATGCACTTTTGTACTGATCAACTAAGGCGAAAAAAAGCATTGCAGTAAATATTTTTTGTATAAACAAATAACAATCATAGTGCTATGAAATAAACAGTGCATGAATAGAATCCCTGTTATGCATAAACTTGTTATAATATAACATAAAAATAAAATAAACATCTTATGACAGGAAAGTTTTGATATGGAATATCATGATAAAAATTACTGTCCATAATATCATGGTTCATTTTGGGAACATTTTGTTGATAAACATTTTTATCCCCTCCCCTACCATAAGTGCATTTACTCCAGATATGAACTCAAAAACTTAAAGGTTGCCAAAATCAGCAAAAACATTACTCATTCTTCAGTCATACTACCTCAATAAGTACTTAACCATGAATAATTTTAAAGGGATAGTTCAACAACATCACCCTCATATTGTTCAAAACCTGTATGAATTTATTTCTTCTGCTGAACACAAAAGAAGATATTTTAAAGAATGTTGGTAACCAGACAGTTGATGTCACCCATTGACTTCCATAAGAAAAAAAATATATATATATATATATATATATATATATATATATATATATTAACTCAATGACTACCGTAAACTGTCTGGTTACCAACACTATAAATCTACTTTTGTGTTCAGCATAAGAAAGAAATTCTTTCAGTTTGAACAACATTAGGGTGAGAGAATTTTTATTTTTGGATGAACTTTCCTTTTACAATTCCTTTTCTGTCTTACTGTTAAATAGTCTTTTTTTCTAGCTTTAGCAGAGCACAATGTCGCATTCCAGGGACATCCGTGTAAGATGGTTCAGTCTTTCTTGTACCATTGTTGACTGCAATCGACACTGCATTTACAATTACATAAATTATATGATTGTTATTTTATTTAATAATTAAATATAAAATGATATCTACTTTTTCATTGAAGGGTAGGCTACTTTATGAAACCAAAACTAACAGTAGGTGGCGGCAAGTCACTGTCTTAATAAGCGAGTCATTCATTCAACCGATTTGTTCAAACAGCTGTTTGATTCATCAACGAAGCAAACGAGGAGTCACTTAAAAGGAAACCATTCGTTCAA